GCTTGGGACGGTGGCGATTTTGGGGGGAGGGAGGCTGAGTCCATGCTTCCTGGACGATCCGCTGTGGATGGTGCGGGTCGCCGCCGTGCCCTGCATGGTGGATGTGCTCTGGAATTACTTCACCATGACCACCGCCTCTGAGCGCGCCGTGCATGACGCGGGGCTGGGCAAGGCCTTCGGCATCCCGGAGATGGGCGACTTCTTCACCAGACACCAGATTTTCCGCGCGGCGGCGATAACATCAAGCTCAAGTGCTCAACACCCGGCTCATTGCTGATATGCATGTGTCCAAGATCCGTCGCATGGCTGAAGCCTGGGACTGGTCAGTCCGCCGCCACGGTTCCTCCGTCAGCATCAACGTCTTGCTCCTTGAGTGCAGCGTCCAACCGACCAAGCTTGCACGCACCGTCTCACTCCCAAGGAAAACCAGCCACTTCATCATCGTTCTAGCTACCTCCGCTTGCATTTCTCGGCCAAGCACCAGTGTATCCGGAGTCTTGCTCACCATCGCAGATCAATGTGCGGACTCGAGCATCCTCTCCCAGCAAGACAATAAGTATCCATCCATCTTTACTAATTCCTGCAGTAGATCTATTTTTGACCAAGATTGCCCCACTCACTTGCCCTGTTTCTTTGTAGCATAACACATTAGTCCCTGCAAATTTTATAGAACTGATGTGCAAACAAATAATGTACGAGTATCAGCATTCTCTCTTGGTGCTAGGCAGTGAATACTCATTTTGTCTTTGCTAAATTTCTGCATTAAATATACTCTAGAAGGGATGGACGCCCCTGCTTTATTTGCTCTGTTTGTTTTCAAACGCAAGAACCTAGGTTCTGTAAATTTATAGAACTGATATGTAAGCCAAGAATATGTGGGTATCTGCACTCTTTGCTTTTAAAAAGATGAGATGTGTGGAAAAAAACTGATGTGGAAACCATGGGCGCTTCTTCCAAATTCAGTCCCATAAAATGACAATATAGTACTGTATGAGTAAGGCCAAATGAAACTATGTAAGCGGGCGCAGCAAAGCGCCCATGTTCCTCTAGTATGGACTGCGTACGGAGCAAAATGAGTTAATCTACACTCTAAACTATGTCTGTATGCATCTGTATAGTCCATATTGAAATCCCTAGAAAGACTTATATTTAGGAATGGAGGAAGTAGAAAGAATTTCAAACTTGTCCGTGAGTCGGTCAAGTTCCTGAGGAAAGAAAATGCAAAACCTTCTGCTTAAACGGGACACTGGAAATGCTTTCCACATCGTCGCAGTTTTTACCTGGGATATTAACTGGCTTTGTTCGTTTAATCCCCGCCCCGCCATGCACGCCCCCGCCGGGATCGGCGGGGTTTTGGCCTAATCCACGTGGTTTTGACCCCGGTCAGGGTAGGATCCCGACCGGCCTTATATGCGTCTTCGGTTAAACCCGTCCGGGTTGATATCCCATCCAAATCCACCCCAAACTGCAGGGATTCCACCAGGTTTTAACCCATATCTCCCCACCCGTGGAACAAAACCACTCGTCTCAGTCTTCTTGGCTCGAAAGAAAAAGGAAAGGGCGAGAGTGGCGGTGGCGCCGATGTCGGCGGGGAAGAACTGGGCGACGGCTAGGGTCCTGAGCGGGCGATCTCTCTCCTCCACTGAAGACCGGCAGTTGCGCCATCCTTCTAGCTCACCCTGCCTCCCCCCAAGTCAGCAGCCGATCCGCGACCCTCTTCTTCCATCCCCGATGCGAGCTCGGTGGCCACAACAGCCAATTCTAGTGTCCCTCCCCAACGTTTCTAAGCTGGTAAGATCTTCTCCGCACCCTTCCTTTCCTTCCTCTTCTTCCTTATAATTTCTAGGGTTTCCCATCCCGTTTCCACCGGTGACAAGTGCCGGCTTGCCGACAAGGCTCCACATCTCCTCTCTACTTACTTCAGCTGCCCACTACCCTTATTTGTACTTGCTCCACCTATGATTTGGTGCAAATAGTGTACCTAGTTGAATCTAACCAAATCTGCTACATAGTCGAACTTTTTTGTCAATGGCATTAGCAGTGCACATATATGGTACTCCTTTGACAAAATATATACTCCGGAGTAGTATTTATTTGTCCCTGATATTCAGTATACTATATACTCCCTCCGTTTCAAAATAGATGACCCAACTTTATACTAAAGTTAGTACAAAGTTGAGTCATCTATTTTGGAACGGAGGGAGTATGTAGCTACCTATAGAGAATCAATGAGATGCAACTGTAGCTATATAGTTTTGTCAATGATTTTCTTTGGAGGTGAAAAGAAAAATTGAGTTTTATGTAAGTGAGGTGCAGATCAACTACATGATTTTTTTCCGGATAGTGGAGGTGAAGAGAAATTTAGGTAAAATGGTCTGAAATGAAGGTATCTTGAAGCCGTGTAACTCTGATAGTGCATTTTACTAATTCAGATGCAGAAAACAAGGTAACATAGATGCAGGAAGTTAGAACTCCTTTGCAAATTACTAATTTCCCATGTGAACTTTGAAGTGCAATGAAGGAACCAAGAAAGTTGCAAAGAATCTTTAGATGGCAGTCACGACGCACTCCCAAAGCTATTAGCTGTTTAACTGAATATTTTCATACATGTGTTTCTTTTTAACTTTCTGACGAAGATTATTTGATTCTTGTATATTACTAGGAAACTATCGAAATCGGCTCCGCGGATCCGAGAAAGGTTCGAACTTTGGGGTGCGCTCGAAGAACCATGCCAAACTTTAGTTCTCTGTGTTAGGATTTAATTAATCCTATTAATCTCTACTTTTTCTA